CTCTCTCTCTCTCTCTCTCTCTCTCTCTCTCTCTCTCTCTCTCTCTCTCTCTCTCTCCCCCTCGACCTCTCTGCTCTGCCTCGGTCTCGTCACACTACCCCTACAATGACACCTGGGACTGCCGAGTTCACCAGACACTATCAAATAGACATTGAGCGCGCCCGTGCTAACCTGCTCAAAGCCCAAAAGGCTATGACCCAACAGGCTAACCGGCACCGCCGTCCCTCTACCATTCGCACCGGTGACTCGGTTTGGGTGCTCACTTCTGAGTTGTCACGCGAGGAGGACATTTCACCTAAGTTGTTGCCACAGTATATGGGTCCATGGCAGGTTTTACATACAGTGGGGGCTGATCCATTTGGATCATCATATGTTGTTGATATCCCTCTGCATCTACAAACCTATCCAGTCTTCCGTGCATCTAAGTTGTTGCCTTTTACATCAGCTGATGCATTTCCGGACAGACCCCCTCAATTCGGTCCACTGATCCCTAGCAAGGGATATGAAGTGGAGTGGATTGAGGATGAGATGGGCACAGGTCCAGACATGCAGTATCTTGTGAGATTCATGTACCAGCCTCACACTGAGGATCGCTGGTTGACACGAAAGGAACTCCGTAAGACACCAAAGTCGGTTGTCCTCAGATACACGGCAGCAAGAAGGAGCAATCCCTTCGGCGCTCTGGTCGTCTACACCCCTAGCTAAGAGGGCCTCGCTTCGGGGGAGGTAGGCCTGCAATGACATGCTGATTCTGCAGCCCGCGGCCCGTCGAACCGAGGCTATAACATAGGTAGAAAGATTCTGAATTTTGCTTTAGCGAGGGCTAACCGTGATATCTGCGTGTGGGGAAATTCGTGAGGGACATATCTGCAAATTTGGGGAAAATTTCAGGCCCGTACTATTTCGGATTTCCTATAGCTACCCTAACTGCGAATAGCAGTCCCGGACTACCACGAGGACAGACAGGCCTAACGACCTACGCTGATAGACTGGACCTATAGCCTATAGCCGGGTAGGGAGAGGCTGAAACTGAAACGGTACCGGTCGGTCCTGTAGGGTCTATGGTAGGTCTAGGGTAGATCTATTAATAGATTGGGGGAGTCTGTTCAGGGCTTTTGGCAGTTGGTACCGTGTAGATCACGGCGGCACAGCGCATGAACTGGAGTGGTGACAGCTTCAGCATTGGAGGAAACGGACATAGCCAGACCCCCGAAGTGTCGACCATAGCTGGGTCCTTTGCTGTTCTCTGGCAGCATGCGGGGCTGCCCAGAGGTCTGAGCTGTCTGAGGTGTGCTGGGATTGGAGAGAGTTGGTGCTCTGTCGAACCCTCCTCAGGAGCAGGTTCCGGGTAGTGGCGCTGCAGCCATAGCTGGAACTTACAGCCTCAGAGATCTTCCCCTGTGAAGTCATCTGGCACTTCATCTTCATCAGGGAGTGTGGCGATGGTCTTCTCCTTCATCCTTTGAGAGGCGCTTGGCCTCAGGGGGCTGTTTCAGGGTGGCGCTTCCCTCTGGAGGCAGTATCTGGGTGGTGCTGGTTGTTCCAGGGGTTCTGTGATAGTGGATATCAGTTACTCTGGGTTGGGGGAGAAGCGCTGCTCATTCCTGAGCAGCGCACCATGTTTCTGAGACTACTGCAGCAAAACGATTCTCTGAGTTTAATAAATAGTGTGAATACTGTGTAAGAGCTATCTTTGCTTCATTGCTTTCTGGATGTGATCTACTCGACTTTCCTTTGTGACTGGTTGTGGGGACTCTGTGGAGCGAATTGCACTTCCAGTGTATTCTTTCATATCGCATGGACAAGGCTTCCGCTGTGTTTCATTCTCTCTGTGTGGTGCAATACTCCTATCATCTCCCTTTCCTTCTGTGTATGTATGGGCATGCATGGGAGTCTATGTGAGCAAGTGTTGGTCTTCTGACAACAAGGAACCAGGTTCATAACACCTGTGTATAGGACCATCAATTGTGTTTCAGCTAGGGCGACCATAGATGCAGGCTGAGGGCGCATCCAGTAGGCCAAGCAGTATACAGCTGGGCCAGCGCTCAGTTGTAGACATGAATTAGAGTTTGGAGTTCAGCGACAGCCTGCTGGAGAGTAGTGTTGTAGAGCTCTAGCAGTAGGATAGCACTAGAGGAGCTAGGGGGAAAAGAAAAGGAGCTAGGAGGTAGACTGGGAGAGACATTTCTAGAGTGGCATTGA